AAAAAAAAAAAAAAAAAAAAAAAAAAAAAAAAAAAAAAAAAAAAAAAAAAAAGGTGATTAGGAAATTCTTCACTTCTCCATATGACTAAATTTTGATTCTCTTCATAGTGACCTTAACTTTTTTCAGCTTCTTTCTAAGGCAAGCAGTTCTAATTTGGACTACTTCTAAACGACTCTGCTCCAACAAAGTGCTATGTGAAAAATTACATTTTTATATCTCCCATCTATTATACATTTTTCTCATACACTAAACTTCTGAGTTACCTGTAGGGGCACAGCTGCGGTTACATTTATGTTGCTATTACATGGTAAAGCTGTATTTGCTCTTGATGGCTTTGCAGTACTCGGGGAAGAAACTGGTGTAGTTATCTGATTGATAACATCCTTCTGATCAGTGGAATCATCTATTGTATCTTTTTCTTGCTGAGTCATGCTAAGAAAAAAAAAAAAAAGAGTTTGACATTAGGCTTAGTACAGCTGAGCTACTGCTAATAAGAAAAGGTAATTCATTGTGATCTTTTTATTTTTGGCACCGGGCCCTCGTGCTTGCAAGGCAGGCAGAGAAACCACTGAGCTAAATCCCCGGCCCTCAATGTGATCTTTTATATTGAAGCTTATACCTTAACAGAGGAAGCTCAGTTGCACGTGGAGGACTGGTACTGATACTGAGTTGCTGGGCTGAAGTGCACTCTGTCTGCTCATCTTCTTCAGGGTCTGGGCAACTAACTCTCAAGTCTTCATTCTCCTTAAAGCAAAAGATAGTTCAAAATTACTCCTATGCATCTTTCCAAGAAAGATACACAAATGGTCAATGTTCATTTATTATTAGCCATTAAGGAAATGTAAATTAAAACCATACTGAAAACCACTTTATACCCAGTAGAAAGACTGTAGTAAATAAAACAGAACTTAAGAAATGTTGGTGATGATATGGAAATATTGGAAATCTTACATTGAGTGCAGCAATGTAAAATAATACAGCTGCTTTAGAAAACAATCTGGCAAGTCCTTCAAATAGTCTAAACACAAGTTCATAGTAGCATTATTCAACTAGTCAAAAAGAAGGAAAAAGACAAAGAACATAAACATCCACCACTGGTAAACGAATTGACAAAATGTAGAATGTACAACCAGTGGAATATTACTTGGCCATAAAAGGAGTGAAGTACTAATATAGCTTCAGAGCGGATGGACCTTGAAGATATTCCAAGGAAAATAAGTACCTACGTAGTCAATTCAGATAAAATTTCAACAGATTTAGGGGGTAATACTAAGAAAAACTTGGCAAAAAATGTAAGAAAAAAATTAAAATTAGGAAAGATAAGAAAACCAGAAGCTCAACCTATAAAGTCCAATATCAAATTAAGAGTTTAAGAAAAAGAGAAGGGTGAACTAGGGTGTGGTGGTGCATGCCTATAATTCCATGCAAATTCCAAGTGTGAGGAAGCCTGAATAACTCAGAGGCCCTATCTCAAATGTTTCAACAAAACAAGTGGGGACACAGGGCAGTGTTAGAGTAACTGCTTAGTAATTTGAGGCCCTGGATTCAATACCTAGTACTAGGAGGAAGAAGAGGGAAAAGAAAAGGGTGAAGAATTTAAAAGATGGGCAAGGGATGTGGCTCAATGGCACTGTGCCTGTTGGCAAGTTCAAGGTCCTGAATTCGATCCCTGGTACCACCAACAAAACAAAACAACAAAAAAAGATAACATAAGAATTTCCCAGATTGGAAAAACAAGTTTCCAAACTGACAGGATCTAGCAAATGTACAGTGGATGAAAAGAGGCATACCAAGACATGTTATTAAATAGTGGGAGTAAAGGTATTAAAGGGCCAGGGATCTAGCGCAGTGGTGAGACCCTGGTGAAACAAACAAAAAAACCTGAAAGACCATCTGTAATACATATAACCGACAATGGATTAGTGTTATGGCTTGTATCTAGATATTTCCCCAAAACCTTACATGTTCCAAAGTGGGGCTTTTCGGAGGTGACTGGATCATAGGTATGTGATACCCTGACTATGGTTGTGGGGCACTAAGTAAGTCCACTGATTGGTTTAGTTTACCACTGGGTGTGGATATTGGGAAGCCCCACCCTGAATATGGGTGGCATTATCCCAAAGGCCTACAGACGGGGTGGGTTAAAAGGGGAAGGGAGTGAGAACTTGCTGTTGTTTTGCTGCCCTTTGCCCCTCCATGCCATGAACTGTTCCCCTGTGCCATGCCATCCTGCTTTGGAGCTAGCTATGAACTGAAACCTCTACAAACTGTGAGCTAAAATAAACTTTTCCTTTTTTTACTTTGGGCAATAGGTATTTTGTCCCAACAACAAGAAAAGTAACTGAAACAATTAGTATCCAGAAAACGCAAAATAAATAAATGAATAAATAAATTCACATGAATTTAAAAGAGATAATGCTATAGAAAATATATGCTAAATACTTTTTTTTTTGGTACCAGGGATCAAACTCTGGACCTTGCATTGCGAAGCAGGCGGCGGCACCACTGAGCTAAATCCCTGGCTTGACTTTTTTCATCTTTAGTATTTAGCACATAGGGCTGGAGATTTAGCTCAGTGGTGCCACCGCCTGCTTTACCAAGTAAGGTCCAGATTTCAATCCCAGGTACAAAATAAATAAATAAATGAATAAATAGTCCTGGGGTTGGGGATTTAGCTCAGCAGCATCATGCCTGCCTTGAAAGCACAAGGTCCTGGGTTTGATCCCAGGTATCACACACACAAAATAATAAAAGTCCAATGACCCAGTAATTCCATTCATATATCAATGTATCTGTCTCCTAGAGAAGTTCTTGCTCACACAAACAGATATGAACGTAAAGCATTATAATGGCAAACAAAAAGGTGAAATTCCATCAACAACAGAATACATGTTATGCACCCACAGAATAGTATACGTAAGTGTAAAATGAATTATAGCTGCGATGTGTGATTGTGTCGACTAGAGAAGTTTGACTAAGAGAAGATTAACTAAATCGGCTCAGCAATCCTATGCCCTACAGTATGGAAGACCCACCCCAGGTTGCCTGGATGTTATAAAAGGAAATGAAGAAGGGCAGATTGGCTTCTGTTTCTTCAGAGGCACTCCAGTCTTTGGGTTCACTTTGGACATTATCCCCTGGCTTCCAGAACAGACTCTTTGGCTTCCAATGCAGACCCTTCAGCCTTGCGGCATAGACTCTTCAGCTTTTCACCACAGACCCATTGGCCTCCTGATACAGACTTGCATGGGACACTGCAGTGAGCTCTAGACCTGACTAAATCCTTTGGTCTCCAGAATACAGACAGACCCTCTAGACTTTTCCTCACCTGACTCAGTGGGTGGCCACTGTAAACCAATCTTGTAATCATATATATTTATTTATCTTGTGCTATACGTCTCTCTAGTATATACTGACTGACACAAATTTTGGTGTGGTGTAAAGGCCCTTGCCGTGACCTATTACCTAGTCATGTGGCTCAAAAGCCTTTAGGAATGGCTAATGGGAAGGGAAAAGTTTGGAAAGATTGGGAGATGCCCTCAGAAAAGGTACAGCTGGAATAACTTAGGCTACACCGTATGGGAGATTCCGTCAGAGCTCAGACCAGAAAGCTGGTAAAGACCAGGATCAGGTTTCTGCTGGGAAGACAGACTGCATTGCTTGCTGGGCTTCAGATGATGTGTGTTATGCCTTGGCAGAAAGTTGACATTTTGCTTGTGTCTAAAGACTTTGACTCAAACTGGACTAGCAAAAAAAATTTCAAGGCACTCTAATGTTGAGGCCGTGACACAGCTACTGTTGCGGGCTTTTAGCCAGACTTATGTTGAGAATCAAGACCAAAGGGCCTGGCAGAATGATTTGGCCAGGAAGGAAGCTCCAGTAAAGTTTCAGTCTGCAAAGTAGAGCAGAGGAGGGCCGGAGATTTAGCTCAGTGGTTCCCGTCACCTACCTTGCAAGCACAAGGTCCGGAGTTTTGATTTAATCCCTGGTACCAAAAACAAATAAACAAACTAGAGCAGAGGAGATCTTGATTCTGAGAAGGAATAGGAGAACAGAAAAGATGGCCTGAGGGCATTACAAGAAGCAGCAGGACTCCACCCTTTGCAGCCTAAAAATTATAAAGGTGAAAGACTAAAAGAGCCCCAGAGCACTAGGTTTCAAAATGGCAGTGGCCTAGGAAAAATTATTCCTCAGGATTTGGTTCACAGGCACTGGACTCCTACAGCCAAGAGAGAAGATGCCTGGCTACTCCTCAGGCTGCCAGCAGACCTTGGCATCATCCGCGTGGTGCTGGTTTTAGCAGCATGCAGAACGCAGGAGTTGTGGATCAGGAAGGCTACCACCCAAACTTAAGGAGCAGGCCTGTGAGGCCAGGCAGTGTGCCGAAGAGGTCAGTGTGTGAAGTTGTGAGTGCGAAACTGAAAGTGCAGCGGAGACCCCACAAGTCTGGAGAAGCCAGGAATGTGGATCATCTGAGGAATACTGTAAGGAGGGAGCAGAGCAGGCCCAAGAGAGACGTCATAAGAGCTACAACGTCCAGAAGTGCTATAGGGGCGAAGCCACCCAAGCCCCGTGGCATTCACTACTACTCGCCACAGACCGCTGGGGGTGTTGGAAGTAGAACTGGGATTTAATGTGTCCTACCGGATTCTGGTCTTGCTTTGTTCCCATTCCTTGCTACCCTCATCTGTAACCTTTGGAATGGAAATGTTTATTTTGTGCCACTGAATGTTGGAAGTCTTTAAATTTCTTTTCATTTATAAAGGGTTTTGCAGCTAAGAATTTGTCTGAAATGTCAGAGGACACTTTGGACAAAGGACTTTTAGCAGTGCTGAAAGTGTTAGGACTTTAGCAACTCTTAGATGGAATAAATGTCTTTTGCATAAAGGGATGCACATGAGTCTTTGAAGGTGCAGGGGTGAATTATGGTTTGGATCCAGATCTTGTCCCAAAGCCTCAAGGGGTCATAGATGGGTTTTTTTGTTTTGTTTTGTTTTTTTTGGGGGGGGGTTTTGAGACAGGGTCTCACTATGTAGTTGAGACTGACCTGGAACTCACTATGTATCCTAGGCTGGTCTGGATCTCACAGAGATTCTCCTGCCTCAGTCTCAAGTGCTGGGATTACAGGTGTGCACTACCACGCCCGGCTTCATAGGTGGCTTTTTCAAAGGTGGCTGAATCTAGAGTCTGTTATGCTATGAGTAAGGGTGTGTGATTACTAAACCAGTACAATGAGTGTTTCAGCACCACCCTAATTCCAATAGTCTGATTAAAAGGGACAGAAAGACACTGTTAAGGTTGTGTTGTTGTTGCTTTTGCTACCACATGGGCACCATGAACTGTTTCTCCTCTACAACGTCCCTCTGCCATATATCACTCTGCCTTGAGGACAGTTGATCATGGACTGAAACCTCTACAAACGGAGCTAAATGAATTCTTTCCCTTTTAACTTTGGGTGCCAGGCATGGTGGTGCACACCTGTAATCTCAGCACTCGCGAGGCTGAGGCAGGAGGATCACTGTGAGTTTGAGACCAGCCTACGCTACATAGTGAGTTCCAAGTCAGTCTCAACTACATACTGAGACCCTGTTTCAAACCCCACCCCCCTAAAAAAACTTTTAACTTTGGGTATCAGGCATTTTGTCTCAGCTACAAAAGAAAGGTATCTAACACAACAGTCATCTTCATCAACAGCCATGAATCTCAATCAATATGGAATGAAAGAAATAACAATAAAAAGCATACTAAAGGGCTTGGGATGAGCCCAGTGGTTGCGCTGCCTGACCTCGCAAGCACAAGGACCTGAGTTCCAGCACTGGTACTCCTCCACACCCCCAAAATTTTTTACTATCTGGTCCTTTACAAAACAAATTTGCTAAGCTAGAATGGTCAAACTATAAAAGGAAGAAAATTATTATCACAAAGTTACAATACTGTTTACATCTAAACAGAAGACAGGAGTAGGAGGAAGATAGTAAAGGAGGAGGGTATACACATGGTGCTACAATACTGAGCATATTTACATCCTACGATTATAGGTTGGGATTCCATAGGAAAGTGTACAATATTCTTTTTTTCATGTGTGTAGTACCTCAACAAATATGAGATGGCATCAACTGCAAAACAAAGCATTATGTGTCACCAAGAAAAACTCTGCCACAAACTATGTTAGGTTTTAAACATCAGACAGCTTGATTTGATAAAACATTAAAAAATATACACCTCAGAATTAATGGAGAACTGTACCATATTTCATAGTTTTAAATGAGATAGACAATAGAGTAACACCTTCAAAATTCCAGCAGAAAATGATTTTTCTTTTTTGCAGTGTTGAGCATCTAATCCAGGACCTTGTGCATGGTAGGCAAGTGCTCTACTACTGAGACACACCCCATGCCCAGCCCAGGGAAATTATTTCTAAAAGAGAAGTCAATCTGGAGATAAACTACTGACTGAGACCAAAATACATTTTTATAATTCAAGATCAAGAAATTTATACCTCATAACCACTTATTCAGGAAACTCTGGAAGCTATGATGCACTAAAATACTGGAAAGCCTCAAATTTAAGGTCAACCTGAATTATATGGCAACACCCTGTCTCAAAAAACTGAAAAGCGGGCCAGGGATTTAGCTTGGTGGTGCTACCACCTGCCTCACAAGCACGAGGTCCTGAGTTCGATCCCCAGTACCAAAAAACAACAAAACCAAAACCCCCAAAACCACAAAAGAATATATAAAAAAAGTAAGTAATTGTAGTATACTGTGTCAGCTGTGAAAAATATGTATACCAAGTGTTTTAGACATGATGCCATATTCAAGTCTAACTTGCAATGCCTTTTACTTAGTGATAATAACATAATGGACATCTTATAATGGATGATATCTTAGGTATAATAATGCACAATATACTGGGGGGATGGGAAGGTTTTATGTGTGCTTGTTTAACAGAGCTGTGTGCTGCAGGTGATGACACAGGCCATCACCCTAGGTACATTTTTTTTGAGACAGGGTCTGACCTGGAACTCACTATGTAGCCCAGGCTGGTCTAGAACTCACAGTGATCCTCCTGCCTCAGTGCAATTACAGGCATGCACCACCACGCCCGGCTCACCCTAGGTACTTTTGAAGCTTAGCAGAAATATCTTAATTTTGAGGCCAGCCTGATTGACTTAGCAAAACTGTACCTTCAAAATTAAAAACGGCTGGAAATGTAGTTCATAGGCAGAGCACCTTTGGGTTAAATCGCCAGTATCGCCAGGCAGGTAGTGGGGGGAATCTCCTCAATTATAAAACCTAAATTCAGTAACTAATATCTAAAACTAAAAGCCAAGAATAACAAAATATCTCTGTTAGAAATATAGGAATACATACAAGGAAAAAAGCTAAGGGACAACATTTACTGTTATAATAAACGCGGAATTAGAAAAACTTGAAGACCCAAGGATTTCAGATATGAAGAGGTCTGAGAGTAGTATGAAATTTAAGTAAGATATATTGCCATATGATAAAAGAACCACATTGCACGCTTCAGTGCTTACCTTTTCTTTGCCGACACCTTTAACGACATCAGACATTCTATTCTCCAAAAGGAGTTCACCTGGCATTCTTGATGAACTCCCAGGTAAAGGAGGAAAATTTGAAGCTAGTAAGTCAAACTTTGGTGCTGGAGGCTTTGCTTCAGCCGAAGGATGAGGTCTCTAAAAGATACAATTCAATAAACAGGTCATATGCCTATCACATTTTCTAATTCTTTGCCATAGAAGCCGTAAACTATAAGAGAACAAAAATATCTTTACCTAGTGCACATAATTGTTCCCTATAAATTCTTTGCTTTTCATCTTAGTTGAGCTTTCATTAGTCTTCACTGTGATGTACTCCTCTTCTCTTTTTTGAGATGGAGCATTGCTATGTGGCTCAGGTTGCCCTTAGCTGTTGATTCTCTTGCCTCCACTCCTCAAGTGTTGGGACCCTAAGTTGTGCCTCAATCTCAATCTCCTCCTGGCTACCCCTCTCATTCATTCAATTGTACCGAGTACTAAACCCAAGGCCTTTGCACTGAGCTGTATCTACAGCCTTCTGTATTTTGAGGAGGAGTCTAGCTCAGCTACTAATTGCCTGAACTGGGCTTACAAGCCTCCTGCCCAGCACCTTAAATGCTGGGATTATTGGTGTGCACTATCACACCCAGGACAAATAACTCTTAAAACAATCTTTTTTGTATTTTTTTGGTCATGGCTACAGAACTCTTAAGCAGAATCAATGAATCACACACTTTAAAGACTTTCAGCACAGGCCTTTACATGAAAGAAACCCAGACATATTTGCTTATCAGCCGTCTCCATTCAGATTTCACTTGGATACTTCAAACAAACATACAGAATAATCTCTTTTTAGTTTATTTTTACCACTTAAAATTACTATGTGTAAGCTTGCAAATCTTAAATTTCACTTCTGGCTAAAATCTTCCTCCTACACAAGGGCTCCTCTAACTTGCCCTTTGTACTGGAAGGCAAGCTTGCCTCCGTCTTTTCCTTCATTTCACCTTTCAGGCCCCAGTCCAGACATTTTCAGCATTAAAAAGACCCCCAAACTAGTTTCTCTTCTCTCCAATCATTGAGAGCCACTTAAGAATTCATGTGTAACAGGCTGGGGATTTAGTTCAGTTGTTCCATCCATGTGTAGCCAGGCATGGCAGTGCATGCCTGAAATCACTGCACTTAGGAGGCAGAGGTAGAAGGACTGACCTGAGTTCAAGGCCAGCCTGAACCCCATAGTGAAACCCTATCTCCAAGGGTGGGGTGGGGGGCAATTCCTGTGGACCATGTCATTGCTTCAATTTTCATGGCTGTCCATAGTACAGAAAGCCATAAAAAAAAAAAAGAACATTGTTTTAAAGACTACTTCTGTGCTACAATATATTTTCGTGTTTGAAAGTGGGTTTCTTTTCACAACAAATAAGCATTATACACATTTACAGTTTATCTATAAATCCAGATGTGGTGGGGTTAAGAACTTCACGCCTTCCCTCCTTTTTTATTCCTTGACTGTTTTTGTCTCTACTTAATAACAAACATTTGCTATACAAAAACCATACAAAACAAAAATATTAATAATTTGAAACTAGAAAACTTAAGATCCAAATATAAAATTTTTAAAATCTATAAAATGTTTTCTAAGACTAGTAGATATAAGAATCACCAGTAGCCGGGCATAGTGGCGCAAGCTTTTAATCCCAGCACTCAGGAGTCTGAGGCAGGAGGATCGCTGTGAGTTCGAGACCAGCCTGGGCTACATCGTGAATTCCAGGTCAGTCTCAACTACATAGTGAGACCGTGTCTCAAAAATAAAAAAAAAAAAAAAAAAAAAAAAAAAAAAATCTCCAGTAGATAGGAAACTTTCCCAAAACAATTAATGAACAGTATAATAGTTTCTCATACCATTCAACAGAATCTGAAGAATGACAGTGGGTGTGATGGTACATGCCTGTAATTCAAGCCTAGCCTGGACAGCCCAGCAATTTAATGAGACACCTCTGAAAAAAAAGGGTGGGGTTAGGGCAGGATTTGCTATCAGTGTAGTCCAGTGTAAAGGCCACCCTATGTTCAAAGAGCAAATGATATCCTTTCTCATATTGGAAAAGTACAACATATACTCTAAAGCTATAGATAAATAGGAACTTTTGTCTATTGTTTATGGGAATAAAAACCAACACTATGGGGCCAGGGATTTAGTTCATTGGTTCTGCCACCTGCCTTCACAAGTGCAAGGACCCAAGTTTGATCCCTGGTACCAAAAAAAAAGTTACTTTGTTGGGGATTTAGCTCAGTGGTTCCACTGCCTACCTCACAAGCCCAAGGTCCCAAGTTCAATCCCCGGTACCAAAAAACCCAACACAACCTATATAGGATATATGAAATTAACTGAATTGTGATCCAGAAATCCCACATCCAGGGATTCTCTTTGAGACAGAAATACACATAGGGCAGCCAGGGGTGGTGGCACATTCCTGTAAGACCAGCATTCGGGAGGAGGAGGCAGGAGGATTGGCAAGAGTTCGAGGCTAGCCCAGGCTACACAGTGAGTTCAGGGTCAGCCTGAACTACATAGTGAGACTGTGCCTGAAAAAACAAAAAACAGAAACAAAAGCAAAAAAGAAATGCATATACAGCAAATGATGGTTACAAGCTTATCACTATATTATTTGTGATAGTACTGTTGAAACTATTTAAATGTCTATCAATAATGTAATAGTTGAGCTTTTAGTATTTATTTTTAAAATCTGAATGCTAAATATTATTTTTTTTTCTTTGTAGTAGTGGGGATTGAACCCAGGGCTTTCATAATGAGCTACATCTCCAGACCTTTATTATTTTTTATGTTGAGAGAGGCTCTTTTAAATCACTACGTTGCCTCAGCTGATCTTGAGCTTCCTACCTCAGTATCCCATAGTGCTGGGATTAAAGACCAGAAAAGACAGACCATAAATCCATGCCACAGTAAATCAAAATAGACAAAAAAAATCTAAAAGACATAATTCAAAGGTTTAAAATACTCACTGGGATCCTTTCATCTTCTCGTCGTCTTCGACCTCTGAAAAGAGTTCTCCTTTTAACAACAAAAAAGAGGTAGGTCAACAGATAAGATTCTTCAAATATACACATTCTATCAATGATGGAATGATATCTACGTAAATTACCTGCATTTCCTAAACCTGCACTGTCTTTCTCCTTTAATTATTAGAAGATAAGCATATTCTTTTGATTTTGTTTTTGAGACAGGGTCTCACTATGTAGTTGAGACTGCCCTGGAACTCACTATGTAGCCCAGGCTGGTCTCCAACTCACAGTGATCCTTCTGCCACAGCCTCCCAAGTCCTGGGATTATAGGTGTGCGCCACCACGCCCAGCTGATAAATATATTCTTTTGAATGGATCCTGAACTACTGTACTAAAACTTCACCACCAGCACCACCACCAACAACCACCACCCAGTTACTTGGATCACTTTTACTAGTAGTATTCCCTCCATTATTAGAAGCATATTAAAGTGTAATTTAGGCCAGGTGTGGTGGTGCACGCCTGTAATGCCAGCACTCGGGAGGCTGAGGCAGGAGGATTGCTGTGAGTTCGAGCCCTCCTGGGCTACATAGTGAGTTCCAGGTCAGTCTCAACTACATAGTGAGGCCCTGACTCAAAAAAAAAAAAAAAAAAGTGTAATTTAGACATAGTAGGCAATATATTACTCCCACTGCTGTTATTCAGGGGTTGGGAGAAATTAAAACTATAAGGCAGACAGGTATCCTGTTTTTCTAAGCTATTCCTTCCTCAACAAACTATAAAGCATTTTAGACTAAAACCCCTGATTCAGAATTGTGTTCTCTATGGATACTCTATGTTGCTTATGAAAAAAACTACTGGGAGCAGAGAGGTATCTTAGCAGCAAAGTGCTTGCCTATCATGTTCGAGGCCTTAGGTTTGATGCCCAGCACCACACATACAAAAAAAACCCCCACCAAAATACACAACAAGAAACTATTAAGACATGTTATGTAATTAATTTATCAGCATGATCAAATACTAATACTGAAGATAAAACAACAAAATCAACAGACCTGTGGTCTTCAGAATTTCAGGATGATCACACTGATCAAAGAAATTTTATATACAGTTATTTCCTTACCTGCCCCTACCATAGTCCCCATTTTGTTCCATCAGTAAGTTGGGAGACTCCTTTGGAAGGTAAGTTTGCTCTTGATGCCCTGTTACTGTAGGGTTATGCAGTTCAGGTGCAAAGTTCCTTGAACTAGATCTGTTCAATAGTCCATCCCCCAATGACACAGAGCCCTCTGTTGAGTGTTCTGTGCCACTGGATGACCTAAAATGAGGCTTCACGCTATAAGAAATACAAGATCATATACATGAAAGGATAAATCAGTACTGAAAACTGTTCTGCAGGTTAAAAACTGACTTTATAACTATCGTCTGATATCTACAAACATAAACATGCTATAAAATGTAATCTCTTTATGTTCCAGATAGAATATTTAAATAAATTTGTGTTTGGGCAGATCTGGGCAGGAAAATCTAGTGTTCTTTGGACATAAGGCTTCCACTTCAAGATTATAAATAAGATTTAAGATTTTTAAAATTGTTTTTATTTTTGTGTTTAAACCAACTGCACTCTTGAAATGGGTCCATCAGCTAGGCTTTAAATTTATTAATGATTTTATGCCATGTATTCTCAATAATAGCAAAACTAATAATGTGAGTAAAAATTGGCAGTTGTGTGTGTAAGACCAAAGATAGCATATTCATTTTATGTATGAAGCACAGGCACACATATTATATGAGTAAATATACAATAATCCATGGCATAGGAGGAAATTAGGAAAAAAAATGTCAAAAGGATTTCTATGGGTGTGACAGTGAAAAGGGTGAGAAATACTAAAATATGCTAAAACCTCAGATTTCAACAAATGAAGTGAATTAACATCCATATGACACAAAACTAGGGAGGTACAGCAATACAACCAAAAGCCTGGCATGAATTCATGAATCAAATATGTAATGTAGTAAAAACAACGAAGAAGGACTGGGGGTTTAGCACAGTTACACCTGCTTCTGCTTGGCAAATGCAAGGTCCTTTTGATCCCTATTACCACCCCCCAAAATTATAAAAAAAAAAACAAAACCAAAAATACCCAACAAACAAATGTGCTTCTATAAAAGTAGCTTTTATTGTGGATGATGAACATAAGGCCCCAACTTCCTAAAACTCTGTATGCAGATAAAACTAGGGTAAGAAAACGGAGAGAAGATGAAATTTAAACATTAAAAACTTTTAGGGCCGGGGATGTAGCTCAGTGGCACAGTGCCTGCCCAGCAAGCGCGAGGCCCTGGGTGTGATTCCTGGTACCAAAATAGAAAAATGAAAAAAAAAAGACCAAAATAAAAAGCTTTTAAAGTAAGCCTAAGCAACTGAGGATAATGGCTCTGTAACAAAATAAAAAGAAAGCATGAGATTTAAATTTGTCCCATTGCTTGCAGTTTAAATACCCCCCTCTTTTTTTTTGGTACTGGGGATCAAACTCAGGACATTGCACTTGCCAGGCAGGCATGGTGCCACTGAGCTACAACTCCAGCCCTGTAACCCATTTTTTTAATAATGTGGTTTTATATTTATAATAGTAGTAATATGTTGCCCATTTGCGGCTTTCTCAACAGAAATTAAGAATTGCAGGTAAGGTGGTACGTGCCTATAATCCCAGCACTTGGGACACTGATAAAAGAGGACTGCCATGAATTCAAGGCCAGCCTATATTTCATAAAGTTCAAGAACAACCTGAACTACATAGCAGGACACTGCCTAAAAATTTAAGGAAAAAAAAGCCCCAAACCAAACAAACAAGCAAAAGCCAACTTCCCCCAAACAAGTGCGTATATAATTATAAGCTCAATAATTAAGCATTAATCCCAATGGTATATCTAACTGTCCTATTTTATTCTAGAGACCATCTCAGCCTTGGTAATTCGACAAGGCCTTGTTTTAAAGGGCTGTGGAGGGGCCAGAGATTTAGCTCAACGGTTCTGGCGCCTCCCTTGCTCAAGTGCAAGGACCCGAGTTCAATCCCCAGTACCAAAAAAGCAAAACAAAAAAATAAATAAATAAAGGGCTGTGGATGTAGCTCAGGTAAAGCCCTAAGTTCAACTCCCCGTATTAAGAAAAAAAAAGAGAGATTATTATTAACATTTAAAATAGATTTTAAAAATCCAGGTATACAATACCTTTTCAGAGAATTACAATGAAAAATATAGAATATCCCCTAAGAGGAATTTAAAAAATGTTTATCATATCTGAAAATGACCTCATGAGTTAGAGATGCTATTTGTATCTGTTCAGAAAATACTGCTCACCCAATTTTCATCTTGCATTTCCATAGGCCTCAGGGTCAAGTCTCTAAATTTAAACAGCCCTCAGATCTCATAATCTTACCCCTCACTGAGAGGGACTAACAATCTCAATCCAGGCAACATAGAAAAAAGAATGAAGAAAGAAGTAAGTGGCAAAGACTAAAAGGAAAAAGGTGAAAGAAAGATAAAATAAGGAAGATAGAACAATGTCTGGACATCTGCAAGTTAGTCCAATTCTCTCTGGGATTAGTGATCATCACTGGGCTGGCACAAAGTTAATTCAAAAATCCCAAAGGCCTGTTACTTTCTCCTTTAACAAACTTTTTTTTGGGGGGTGCAGTACTGGGGATGGAACTCAGAGCCTCTGTTCTGAGAGCGACATCCTTAGCTGTTTTGAATTTTTCAAGATAGGGACTCACACCAAGGGACCAGGGATTTAGATCAGTGGTTCTACTGCCTACCTCACAAGCTCAAGCTCAAGGTCCTGAGTTAGATCCCCAGTACAAAAAAAAAAAAAAA